CCCAGCCCTCAAAACCATTCAGTCAGCCCAGCAGACATAAACAAAACACAGCACTGAGCCCACATCAACTTAGAGGAGCTCAGCCTTGGGTTGACCCGGTCAAACGCATGCAATACTCCTTCAGCCCACTTTCCCCCAGTCTAACTTTGTCTGAATTCACTCAGAAGATCTGAACTCTTATATATACTTGTTCATTTAGCCTTCTGCAAAACATGTCCTGGCATACATAGGAAAACAAAAAGTAGTATCCTTACATGTACATATTCAGATACCCAAGGGATAATAAGTAAGGGAGGGGATCACACGGGTTAACGAGATTATACCTGAGGTTCCCTGCCTCTAGAACCCCGCCTGGGCTCCGGCAGAGCTCCCGCAATCGGTGGGGCAACCTCCCACAGAGGCCTTGGCGTGGACCTACGGGTTGCAATCCTGCCTGCCGCCTTCCTCTCGTAACCATAGAGTAGACTGGGAGTAAGGAGGATAGAAGCAGAAATGTTCAGTCTCTCGAGATACAGGGGAGGTGCTCTCAATCTCACTGGAGAGGGCCTCGTTGTCTTGATGCGCCTGAGGGCCTCGCAGTGGCAGCCAACTGACAGCTTGGTCAACGAGCTCGAACTGCCGGAGTAGCCTCTCCTGATGAACTCCCAACTCGCAGCCCCATCCCCCTACTTGTGCAGCCTGCTTGCCTTCCCAACACTCAACCGGCAGCAGTGTGCAACAGCATGTGGCGCTCAACCGGAGACAGCGGCTCGTTACATCAGGCAGCAGTAGTCTGCCACAGCAGGCAGCAGCGGATTGTGCGGCCTGTAGCAGCCCGTAGCAATACGCAGCCTAGTCAACAGCGACAGCAACTGTCCGCCAGCATGCAACAACAGTTATCCACAGCGACCGCAGCCCTTACACAGTCCACTGACGCAGCACCAGCAACCTATAGCGAARTCAGTAGTAGTAGTCCGAGCCCAGTCCTCCGCAGCAGCAGTATCTGTCTGCAGTAGCAGTCCCACAACAGCCCAGTATGAGTTCCACCAATCTACAGTCCGCAACTGCAATCCCTCAAGAGTAGTGATACAATCACCGTAGTAGCAGCGCTCGATGTGCACAGCAGCAGTCCGTAGTTAGCTCGGTAATATAGCTCCAAGGCGGCTACAGTGGGGTAGGAACAGCCACGACTGGTTGGCCCGGCGGTTGCCCAGCCTAGCGTGACGTGCAGCGGTCTGCGCCAACCAGCACTTGCCCGTAGTCAGCAGCATCCCGTATCAACATCCTTGCTAA